AAGGTTTGCGAGATATCAGGCCTCAAATTTTAATCTCGTTTGGGACTCGTGCCACTAAAACCTGGAATAGAAAACCTAATTTCAGGAAAGAATCTTTCATTTCAGAAAAGAGCTTTTTTAAAGAGAAATGTCTTTTTCCTTAAAAGAAGAAAGACAGCAGACGGTGCAACTAAGGTAGTTTGAATTCAGTCATGCTTTCATTTTTCAGACAAGAATGTCTTTATTAAGAAATACTCATTAATTATAGAAGTATTTGTTTAGTTTTTCTCTGTAAGAACAGAATGCTAAAATCCCATATCAAAAGGAAGAAATTGCATTCTGCAGAGCATGGTGGAAGTCAACTGTTCTTAAAGTTAATGTGACTGAAGGTCTCTATTGAAGAAGGAGTATTAAATCAGAAGTTCAGGTGATATGCTCATTTGGAACCCAAATGATGCGTTGTCCACATCATGAAGCTGTATTAAAGATATACATGCAAGACAGCACATAATGTGGCCCTTAAGCCTACTAAAGACCTATATATCGTAAGTATATAATGATTACTTTAGTAACGTAGACACTAACAATGTCAACCCCCTTGTTTTGAATCTCCTCCCGTGATTCCTATAGAGTAGACCTTAAAACAAATTGGTCACAGCAAAAACATTTCTCTTGTACATCAGGAGATGCGCAATGTGAAATCATTTACTTGTATCTTAAGTAACAGTCTAATCATCAGATGTGGAGATGCAGATGCTAAACAACTTGTTGACTAAGGGAAAAGAAACTGTGCTTTCGTGCCAGTAAGCAGATGTGCTCAATAGACTGGCTCATAAGTGCTGATTTAGAAACAGCTGTTAATGCTACCATCATCTTTAATATAGTTCATTTCCCTCCACTTCCTTTGTTTTCTGTACATATGCTTGCTCTATACAGTTAAGTTGTGCTAGTCAGAGGGTGGAGAAGAGGGAGTGCATTTTAATAAATAATAGGAAATCAGGACCTGATTTTGGGAGGTGGTGAGCACTCTCAGCTCCTGCTGGAGCTAACTTAGACTTGAAAAACAGCATAAAAAGGTTCATAAAACGTACGGTATCAAGCTTGTCACAGTAGATCTTTAAACTACTTTAAAAGGATATAGTTTTTGCAAAAGTTGTAAATGGCACAAGCTAGTTCTTTCACTGGAAAAAAAGTTCAAGAGTTTTTCAAGTTCACTTCAGTAAGGGCTTTTTCTTTCTCCTTTATTTTTATTTTAATTTTTTCTCTATTTTCCTTTCAGTCATTCTCTCCTTTCTCTCACTCTTGCTCTTTCTCTCTCTTCCCCTCTCTCTCTCTTTTGTTCTCTCTCCTCTTTCTTTCTCCTCTCTCCTTTTTGTTTCTCAGGGTGTTTTGTTCTGATGCATGTTTTGTGCAACACCTGTAAGTTTCAAATGAGTTGTACATTTGAAAAGCACAGTTTTCCATGAATCCAGATAAACTGACACTCTGAAGTACTTCACACAAAGTTTGCTTCACTTCCTTCCCATTACTAAAATATAGATGGATCACGTATCAGTAACAACTATACCCTCCATAATTGACTCTTCAGCTCCAAAGGAAGTTCAGAATTCCAGTATCTGAATTTGATCTCTAGAGGAAATAACAAGTGAAGGACCTGTCTCATATTATTAGCACTGTCTCATATTATTAGCATTAAAGACTTCATCTAGAGTCCATTGAACTCGATGGAAAAACTCACACTGACATTAGTGTACTTTGGATCAGGTCAAAAGTGGATTTCAGTACTTTAAAAGGGAGGACATAAATCGATATAAAAAATACCTAACGTATTCCCTCATATAGAAGTCCCTCTATACATTAATGCACCAAATGATATCAAAATAAATCCATAACATTTTCAATAATAAACTTCCCTATAATTGATTTCTAGCCTTTGAAAATAATCTTTCACATACCAGATAAAGAAATTTCTTATTTGATATTCTCTAAGTAAATCACATGCAGATTATTTGAAGTCATTAATAAAACAGCCTAAAGCTTTTTTCTTTTTTCTCTTTTAAATTGTTACTATTTTCTCTTTATGGGAAGCCTGACAGGCTATATGCCAGTCAGTAGTATATATTCTCCTATGGGAGTGCCAGGGTTACTCTCTTCCCCTACACTTACGAGAGTGCATGCAAAGGTAGCCGGAGTCCTTTTAGCCCTACTTTCCTTAAATGTCACGTTTCCCAGACAGTGGTTCACGTGCAGACATAGCGTTGCATGCTGGATCCTCTGAGGAATTTATAAATGTATCTTGCGTTTATTCTTGAAAAGGGAAATCGTCGTCCTTTAATTGTTTTATATCAATTAATATACAGACGCTGACCTAGACTCATCCCTGGTGGAGGCATTTCAGGGCATGGTTGGATGAGCTAGTCTGAGGGGAGATGATCTGAATGAAGAGGTACTCCCCAGCCTGTCCTCGGCTACTCATTACCTGGAAGCTGGTGCGACTCGGTTCTCCTGGGTTTAATGCTCAAAGAGAGAGACTGCTCTCGACTGTGGATTTGTGAAGGGACCTGAATTATAAAAAGCAGCAGCAACAAAATATTGTAAGAAAAAATGGAAAACAAAAAAGAATAATTTTTTAAATTGGAGTCAAAAAAGTCAAGCGAGCAGATGTGAGAGTTTAGCTCTGTCTGTGAGAGGAGAACAGAAATGAGCACCTGCATCAGGAGCCAGGCAGCAATCATCCTGCTCACATCTGTCCCAGCCAGAACAGTTTCTGACAATGACTGTAGGAGTATTAGCTTCAGTTTCTCAAGTATCCAAAAATGAAATGGATGCCTCTGGAAGGTGGTTTGCCTGGATCTCTCCTGTTCCAGTAAGTTAAAGTGGGTTGAATCCAGGTCGTGCATTGAAATTTTTGCTTCAAATGCATTGCTGTTATTTTTCTTGAAACCACTTTTTGTATACATTATTTTCAAGGACGTAAAGACATTCAGAGAATTGCTTAGATCTTTTAAACATCACTCCAAGCCTGTCATTTCTACTTATCGAATAAAATTCTCTGGTCCCTTATTTCAGAAGAAGAGTGATAATATTCTGCGGTACTGGGTTGAATCCAAAGTCTATCATTTTTGATGTTTAGATTATGAGTGCAGTTGCATCTACTGCACTGTCTGGCACCAGTTTGGTAGTGTCTTTTACAAGAGAAACTTCATTATCTTAAAAAACAAAAACAAATGAAATGACATCTTAACTTCCCCCAGAAAGCTGCCAATGCTGTACTAATGCTGTACCCTTTTGAAGACAACTGTTTCCATGGACACCTCTGATACGTGACCCGAGTATGATAATTCCCAACATCACAGCAGCCAGTAATAAATACCTTTCCCTTTACACTCATTTCACTTTACAAGCCAGATTCTTTGGCTCTGATGAGTTGACTAAAGGAAAGGAAATGCTGTGCTTTGAGGCTCTTAACTAACCTGGAATCATTTTGCTCTGTTCCCAAGTGATTGGCTTTAACAGCTCACATTGGCTTTAACAGGAATATAGAGTATAAGAAAATAAATATACCTCTCTTCCTTCCCACATACATACATAGAGATAGTGACGTTAACTATCAGTTCAATTGTAGTAAAATTTTAATGTAAAATTCAAAGTGATAGTAAAGGTTAAACACTGCAATGTTTCCTGGATGTATAAGACAGATTCGGCAAAACAGCATTTTTGTGGCTCTATTACTCATGTTGTACAATATGTCCTGCTGTGCCTGTTCCTTGCTGTTTCTTTTAAAACTCTGAAACACATTCTGCTAAACGCAGCAGAGGATACACCGACATTGCAAGCTTTCTTGCTTTCTTTCCAAGTGAAAAGTTGCAGACATTGTTTATTTTTCTGTGGAACCTTCATGTGAAGAGCTGCACAGACACACACGCACGAGATTTTTTTAGCAACATTAACTCTAAATGGATCAGACCCAACAATCTTCTATTCATACTGTTTTCAGTGACAATATTTTAAGTTGATTTGAAATCGGCCTTTAATCTGGTCTAATATATTTGACAGATGCTATGAACATCTTTTTTGTTTCTTTTCTTTTGGCTATTGAAAAAAAGTCCTTGTGGTTTGCAGTGCTGGTACTTTAGAACTGTGCAAATAATTTAGGTTTACTTCCCCCCCCCCGTATTTTCTATACAGAGAAGGGGAGGAGGGGAAATGAGTTTCAGCTGGAGTGAAATCTTGGGGTTTAATGTGACTTAAATACAGATACATTTTTAATCTTTCATTCTATGAATTTCTTTTCCACTCTCATCTGAAATTATTTGCTGATTTTGACTCAAATTCATAAATGTCTTGCCCTCTGGCTTTGGGGGTATTTATTTGTCTGAAAAACTTGACCAGGGTCTATGGCTAAATGTAGTAGAATAGAGGATCAGTCAACTAGTATCATTTAAATACATTTGTGAAATAGACAGGGAAGTTGTAACTTTTGACAGTAAGAAATGCTCTTTCAGATACTTCAGCAAGTAAAATAAAAAAAAAGAGCTTTTAAAATGCTCCACCTGAAACTTACCACCAGTTTACAGAAACAAACAGGCAGAAAGAAATGCAAACTTTTCAGTGCATTTCATTTTGCCCCTGTTTCTCTGCCCGTGAAATGGCATTAATATGTTTTTCAAGCGTATGTTAACTTTTTAATGTTTTTTAAATTTTTTTAATGTTTTCTAAAGGACTCTGAAATCTTCCTGTGGAGCTATCTGCTGCAGATAGCCCGGCTGCCTTCTTGCGGTAACCCCTTTCCCTCCTTTGCAGTCATTTATCCTCACATCCCAGGGTTCATGTCCTACCCAAAACTGGATCACCTGCTCTTCAGGGAAGGCTTGCTAAGCTTTTTACCATATAAACAGAATGGCAGCGTGCTGCATATTAAAAAAAGCAAAAACTCAAGCGCTGTGCTACAGCTAGAAAGATCATTATTATCTTCAACAACCCCATCTTTATTTTCTTGTTTTGTCTTTTCTTCCGCAAAGGTAAAAGTTTGGTTCCAGAACAGACGAATGAAGTGGAAGCGGGTAAAAGGGGGCCAGCAAGGGGCAGCAGCCCGGGAGAAGGAACTGGTGAATGTGAAAAAGGGCACGTTGCTCCCCTCCGAGCTCTCTGGCATTGGTGCAGCTGGTCTCCAGCACACGGGGGACTCACTAGCGAACGACGACAGCCACGACAGCGATCACAGCTCCGAGCACGCACACTTATGATACACAGAGAGTGTCCCAGCTCCGTTCTCAGGAAAGATGCTTTGCTGGCAAGCCTTACACAGGCATCGTTTACGTATGCAAGTGACTCTGGCAGTGATTTTTAAAGTTGTTATGGAAAATTCAGGCATATTGTGTCTGCTTTTCTTGATTTTTAGATGGTTTACAGTAAGTGCCATGTCTTAAAGGTGCCTCAAGAGTGGAGAAGTGGAAGACGAACTTACTTTGAACATTCCAGATTTGTTTGTCATGTTTATGACAGCGGGCAGGTATTTTTGCTTTAGCTTGCACTGAAAATTACATTGCTCTCAACAGACGTTATATTCTGAAAACCACAGTGCCACAAAATCACTATCTAGTGGATAAGAAATGTATTTTAACTCTGTATATATTTACCTTACAGCATTTTCCTGTCTTCACTAATTTTAGCAATGCATTCATATTAGCTGATGGCAATAGTCACTCATGACAATAAATGGCTTTTTGTCTCTTTATTTTTGTTTTGTTTTTCCAAAGGCATACAATACATGCAGATACTTTTGTTCAAGTAGAGAACAATACAATAGTGTCTGCTAGGACACGTCCTTGTATGACAGACAAAACAAACCTTATGTTGCATTTACTATCAACTGCTGCTAATAGGGTATTATTAAACTTACCTAGCTCCTCAATTCTTCTTATCTTAGAACTGCAAAAAATGATTTTTAGGATCATAAGGATAGTCCAGTAACCTGCCAAAAAATGTCATGTTCCACTCATGCTTGGTGGAAACTTCCCAAAGGATTATTCATTTCTACTTTGTCATAATTGAGTACATTGATAAATACTGACACTCTGCAGAAATGTTGTCGCTTCATCTTCAGTTGAAAAAAAAACAGCGGATAAGCTGAAAGCTATTATCAACTGCTTATGTTGGTAGAAATCAAAATATGAAGGTAACTCAGTATTGTGTCCCGTGTGTAAAATCAAGACACATTTTCTGTTATAAGCTTTTGTGTACATACAGGCAAATACCAAAACCCAAAATTTAATGCAAACCATTGATTGTACTTTGTAAAGAAATATGTTTAATAAACAATCCTTTTTAAATAATTCTGGTCTCTCTACACTGATTTCATAGGATACTTAAAGTGTTTTTTGTAAAAGTCCTAAGCAGCTCTGCCTTTTTTGGGTCTTTCGGAACTTAGTCTGTCTGTGGACAACACAAAGCTATGTTTTCAAATTTAGGCTTTTAATCTTGGATAAACCTTCTACCTTGATCCATTTGGGAAACTCTTTCCTTTAGCAGGAAAAAGGCATCTAGCGGCTAATGATGTCTTCAGCCAAAAACAACAAGAGTCTGTTCAACCATTTTTCCAGATTTAGAGCAAATATAAAGGGTTATTTTGTTGGACCTTGTTGAAATGGATGAAAGGGAATAAATATCAGGAAGGGATGCATACTTATCGTGCCTTTGTTCAATAAAGCTGTTCAGGAGAAAAAACCAAAATATCTCCAAAAATTTTGGAGATGAATTGGACTGGTAGTGTGATAGAAGGAGCTGAGTGAAAGAGTGAGAAAGAAATGTGCATATCCTAGTAAATGCTTGTGAACATTTACTGAAGCTCTGCTATGTGGAGCAGTAGGGCATCATAAAAGTTAAATGCGATCAAGAACTCTGTGTCTGTTTTCCAAATCCTTTCCACTGTAGGTTTGATCTTTCTTGCACATTAATTGTTGTCATGATCATTTTAGTTTAAAATATCCAAGCAATGGGTAATTCGTTTCTTTAAAGACTTCAGAGCATTTTATTAATTCCAGCAGTTAAGGGGGTTTGCATTTGTTTCTCAGTTCTTTTTCAAACGCCTTTGTCACACAAAATTGTTAAGAATGGGAGCAGGGTAGAGAAGTAAGGCCACTACTTGTGAATACTTGGTATTTTTGATTTCATGGCTGGATAGGAAAGTTTTTTTGGGTGGTGGTGGTGATTATCAAATCAGGAAAAAACCCTCAGTGGTTCAGTCTAAAGCTTTTTATTCTTGGCTGTTTTTTTCTCCCTCTTAAATGAAATATAGCTACATTTGAAAATGAAAAATTAGAATGAAAAGTTGAAAAAAAGCATCTTGAATTTTCAAATAACACTTTTTAACAACAGATTTAGTCAAATGTAATGTGACTTGTTTTGCTAGTAAAAAGGCAAGAGAAGATTATTGTTTTTCAAATACTCTGTTTGCTAAAAATGCCTTTTCAGGTTTGCAGAATTGTTTGTTGCTGTCTTTCATAAGAAGTTTAAGACTGAATCTGAGAAGGGATCAGCCAAGTTTGAGCTGACATTTCACAAAACAAATGGAAGGGCTTTATTTACATTACCTGAAATGAACCAGCCATGTGTTCCTAGCCCAAGGCATTTTGAGAGGTGTATTATTCTGTTAGCGGCACCGTGATTTGACTGGGATACTTGCAGTGGGGGAGCAGCCAATATGTGTGATGATGGCAATCGGTGAGCCATAATAATCTCATTACCAGGAAGAATTTTTTCCTATTGAGAAAGACAGTCTTTTTCCATTTTCCTAGTTTTAACTGAATCTGTTGAGACTTAAAGCACAGGTTGAAGAGAGAGAAACATGTGCAAATGGATTTACAGTGCTAGGAGTACTTTTGTTTAGATAATTGAGTGAACCTTCAAACAAAGGACCAAATTATGTAACTTTATATTACAGAAGAAAAAGAAGACTAACAAAATTGATCATCTCCCATGCTTTAAAAGCAGCTCAGACTTTGAATTTGGCTGTAAGGTGCTAACTGTATGTAGTAACCTCTCCGATTACTTAAAGACCTCTGGTGGCTTTAAACAACTGTTTTGTGGATACACCATTGGTAAGTGCAATATGGTGCAGAGATCCCACACTGGCAGAAGTTGAAGCTATGAAGTCTAAGCACAGTGAGCTTCCTACCATGGTCTTGAAGGAATTTACTTACAAGTACAGCCCCACAGAAATACAGACATGCTTCTTCCAGATTTCAGCTAGCTCATATTCAAGCCACACATAGCAGCAATGAACGCCCCGCGCTTTAACATCATCAATGCAGATGATGTCTCATCTTGTTCTGAATACCCCAATTACTCAAAAACTGTCTTATGGAAGCCCCTGAGATCAATCACCTGCTTTAACATATTATGACTTTGTATCAAAGCCTTAGCATAATTTTGTTGCTGAAAACAGCTATGGATAAAGGCTTTTGAACTATAACTTCAAGTTTTGTTTTATCTTCATTGGCTTATATCTGTCTGCAGACTAACAGAGGGTTCTTGTACCAATCTAGCCATATGGTATAGATAAGACTATACCATTCAACAGATGGACAAAATCAAGCCCTAAGATTGTGATTTGCCCAAAGTTGTGCAGGCGCTTAGTGGTAGAGTGAAATGTGATGAAACCTAGTTTGGTTTATTTATCTTTATTAGTTCCTGTTATTAAATAGTGGCTAATCACTTTTCATGACTTATTGTCAATGAGTCCTGCTTCTGAGGACTAATGATGTATTTTTTGAGTTACAGAAATTTTGATATCATATCTGTCCAGAGTCTACCTCTCTTTGATGTTCTGTTGTTATCGCTGAGTCAGACACAGAAGTGCGTACTCTTAGGAAACGTACACAGAAAATATAATTGACTGTAAAAAGGCAGTGATGTTAACAGTTTAATCCATCAACATGATGGATGATAAGAATTCTTTTTTCTGCTGTCTCTGGGGTACAAGGCTATACATTATTTGCAGGGTTTCTTTCTCTTCCTTTATGGCTGTTGAATTTTTATTTTGTGTTTTTGTTTACTATGGCTTCATTGTTTTCAGATTAATTTTGACAATAGCAGTTCAAAAGATGTGGTTAAAATAACACCATTGCAAGCTGGCTGAAGTTATTAAATCACAAATTGGAAGTAGTCTGGGAATTTAATTAAACACTTACCTTTTCTTCACTTTTTCTTTTCATCGGATCCAAAAGTAGTGAAAAAAGGAGCACAAAAAGGAGAGACTCTATACCTATGTCTTTCCATCACGGGCCAAGTTTCAAGTTAGTTTATGTATCCTGCTTTCTTAAATGAAGGCTCTGACTGCTGCAATAATATTATTTGTACAAATAAAGAAAGAAACACCATTAGGACGTGCACTCTTAGTAGCCATGAGGAAACATAGTTATATAAGTTAGGGACAAAATGTCAGCTTGAGCCTTCATTTAGAATTTCCTGGCTTCAGTCAGTTTATGTCTCCTGGGTGAGCTTGTATTTAATAGAGTACATGCAGTATTTAAGATCGGCTACAAGATTCAAGAAAAATTTAGAGAGTAATGTTTAACCAATTATGTACTGTAATTTAATATCGTTATGTAATGTGTGTGGATTGAAAGGGAGAATTCTGTACACAACCTGATGTCTATATTCATTTAAAAAAGGCCATGTAGCCGATACCCGGCAATAACTGGCATAGGGCTTCAGTGATGATGCACATTATTACCTCATATTAATAAGGACTTATTAGAGCTCATTTGCTTTTATTTATCTCCATTAATTTTCATTTTAAGCCCATAGTCTTTTGACACCATTTACAGCTGAAAGCTGCAGTGTAGGAATCAATTTCCATGTAATTTAAGGCCCCTGGCTGTTAGTCAGGGTCTCCATATGGCATAGTAAGAGGTTATCACAGTCATCTGTACAAACTGCAAATGTATTAGAAGTTTCTCAGCCATTTATTACTTCTGTCCAAGTCATGCACGCAGATCTGTTAGCCATTGTCCTTTTTCTGGCATCTGAACTGTCATGACTCTTACCTGCAGAAATTTGGTGAAACTTGCTTTCATTCAGTTGAAAACAATCCCCTGGGCAGTAGACTTGGTTAGTATCAACAAACAGAGAAGACCCCAAAAAGTGTTGTAAATGAAGAGATCGTTAAATAGTAGTTGTAGTAGGAAATAATCATAGTTCCCTTTTCTGCAGTGCTTTTCTGTAGACAGACTCCAAAGATTTTTTAAACAAAGGCAGAAGTTTTGAAACAGCCTTTTTAATGAACAAACAACAAGGGACTCAAGTGATATGTACTGGCCACCTTGTATCATAGGCCCAGTAACCCTTTTAGGATAAGGTCATTGCCCTACTAAATGTGCTGTGAGGACTTGGTTCTGTTCTTTTTTATCTTATTTGGCACTTGAATGCTTTCTATGACAACCTTTTCCAACTCTTGTGACCCTGACTCCTTACCCTAACAGGATTCGCAAAAAAAGAGTAAATATGTGGTTCTTCAAAGCAGAAGTGAAAGATACAGTTGAGATAAGGTGTAAGAACGTGATCCAGGACATTAACTAATAATTAAAGTGGCATTAGCTCTGTTTAGAGGACTAATTGACTGGAATAAAGCATATTGCCACATCCCTGTTCTTTCCATAAATGGTTTTGTATTTTGTGTACCAATGTGATTACTTCAGAAATTTTTACCTATTATGTTGATATCTATTAAGGTTATATACTTGAATTTAAATATTCGGTTCTGATGTCTAACAAAATAACATTACAAGTCCACAGACAGACTTCTCTCTTGAGAGAGAGAGACAAAATTTGGCAGTAAGTACTTTTCTGCTAACGTTTGGATTTTATTTGTAAATTTTGTAAATTTAGCATCCATTAAAAGAAACCTTGTAAAATGCTGTTTTACATTAGTGACCAACAAGTTTCAGATTCACTCATCCTTTAAGTAAACAGCACAATAATTTATTTCTGTAGGAATTTTCTTGTCTTGTAAGCACATGATAATATCATGGTTTTTGTGTTATAAAAGTGTACTCCAAAACCATATGAAGCAATGAACATGGCAAATATCTATAAAAGTGGTTCAGTATTTAGGGACAGATTCTCATCCTTAGTGTCACCATGAATATATAGACACTGTATATGTTACTTATATTTGCTTATGGACTGCAGGGTTTTTAGAAATATGCCTATTCTGAATGCTTACCACATTATTTGCCAAGAAAGTCACATGCACAGCTGAGAAAATACTGAAATGGGCATTTTCCCAAATTAAAAATTTATCTTGAAAAGTGCCCTTAGAAAAAT